TCCGTTTTTGACCCGTCCCATATCCGACCCGACCCGCCCTTTTGCCACCCCTACATGTGACCAAGAGGTCACGGGTTCAATCCCTCGAAACAACCTTTTGCAAAAATATAGGGTAAGACTGCGTACAATAGACCCTTGTGGTCCGGCCCTTTCCTGAATCCCGCGCATAGCAGGAGCTTAGTGCATCGGGCTACTCTTCATTCATTACCACTGTAAAGTTTTGGATTGTACATTCAATTTATAATATTTAGACGGTCAAAAACTTGGAGGCAACAAGGTGCAATCCGGGTAATTATTGATGAGCTGATCAATTCAGCTGCGTCTTGCCGATCAATATGACTTACTTATAGACCTAATGTCACATTCAGTCAAGATTTATGATATATGTATGTGTCTGAGCCTGTCCCACTGATGTATTAAAAGCGATACCTTGGGACGGTTGTAAGGCTAAACAAATTGCTTCAGCTTCACGAATAGAAAACCGTCTTGGTTGTAATTTGTAAGAATATGAATCAGCCTGTCCAACAAATTTCTTGAGCGTCCGAGTGAGCAAGTTGCCAAGATGTGTATGTTGAAAAGACAGTGCACTCACCAAAGATATACATCAACTATACTATCAGACAAAGATCTACGATTTACTTTTCACAATCTGTTGACAAAAGTATTGCTTTTTTTTTTTTTAATTTTTATTTTCTTTTCCCTTTTTTCATATTTACTTGCCTCACTGTGTCCTCCACAAGACGCAGTGGGGTTGCAATGTGGGAAGAATATCAATGGACAATTCAGATCTTTGATTGAAACTTCTCAGCTTTAGGAGATTCTCTTTACTTCTTGCTGACAATTTCCCAACTAGTATCATGCCATTGTCTCAATATGAGAATGATATAGAAAGTGACTTTACCTTATCATCCCTTCTTGCACAAATATCAGGGAATGATCAGTTCTTTTTCTGCCAAAATAATAATTCAGCTTTTCAATTGTTCTTCCTTTTTATTCCTATATGCTCAAACAGTTTCTGCATGTCTACCATACTGTTTTTTTCCAGTTTCTGTTTATATACAGCCAAAATTTTATACTCTGTAAAACAATGGATTAGTCCCAATCACCCTTACTATTGACAGCCAGAAAAAGTAAGTGGTGGGGTAAAAGTACTCTTGCTATTCAAACAAAGCACTAATATTTTCACTTGCTATTTACATACACATTCAAAAAAGAAGTAATAATAATATTAATAAAAGTAAAATAAGAATGATTGGATTTATTATCTCAATCAAGAACATAGCCTAGGTAAAGATCTTGCATTGTTATGGCTTGATACTCTTGATTTCAACATCTTTGCCATCTGATTTTGCATTTTCCTGCAAACTTTTTCCAATTCTAGCACTCTACATTGCATACCTTGTAAATGTACTTTAAGTTTCTCATTCTCAGTCGAAAGATCCAGCTTTCCTGCGTATAGGACGATCTGCTGATCTTCCTTACCCGTATTTTCTGCTTCCGCGAAACTACAATGTGAATCGACGTAAGGACTGGCTTGATTGGTTTCTTGAAGTAAGCTTTTGAGCTTCACTTGCTGAGTAATGAGAGCTTGTCCAGCAGATTTTGAAGGGAATTTCTTGTTCTGAGCTAAGTGGTTACAAGCCTCTGATGACAACTTCTCATAGTTCAGTCCACTACATATTTTCATCTTTTCCTCTTCACATAACCCCGAATGTACCTGCAATTTTTCGTTGATTATCAACGTTAGACCAACTAGCTAAATTTAGGAACAATGCCTAAGCAATTCGCCACATTCTTGAACATGAACTAATAGTGAATATATGTGTTTGTATCAGTTTAAATAAGCATCATAATACAAAGAAGCAAGTAAAAAGTTGAAGACCATACTGCAGTTTAACTATTGTTCTTTAAGCATACCTCAAAATACATAACTGTGGCGTGGTAGATTGCATCATATGAGTCCCTAGCAGATTCAGGCAGCGATTTGACCAGGGCAAGGAACTTGGAAGGTTTTAGACATGGATCAGGAGCGACTTCTACTATGTACAAGTCGATCAAGCTAGCAACTTTCCTCAATCGAGTTAACGGAACACAACATGCCCCTTTGCTAATAAATGATTTCAACAACCTGAGAACTAAATTCACATCATATAAATAACTTGATCCAACCGGTGAAGGGAGCAGCAGGTTATCCAAAGTCGCTTGATCCAACAGGGAACCAATCATGCTCTCTAACTTGTTCCTCGAGCACTTGCTTATCTTCAAATTCAGAGTAATTCGAAGCATTCCAAATAAGGTTTTGAAGGAAATGCAGCTCAAATCTAGCAAATAAAGCATCTCGATAACTGTCTCCATCGTCTTGCATTTCTCATCCATCGTTTTGGCCGATGCAAATCTTGATTTTTGGTAATAGAACAGGAACTTACTAAGAATACCATGATCAAGATTTCTGGATACCATTTGCTTTACCAAAATATCGATCAAAAAGGGCTCGAAAGCAGCTAGATCCTCAAACCACCATGTAGCCCGAAATGTGCTATTTTTAAAGCTCTCTGTACTTTTTGAATCACAAGACAACCGAAATCCAGAACTGTCAGCAGAAGAAGTCGACGGACAAGGACTGGTTTCACAGGAAGATGCAACTCTCCCGATAAGAGAATCGAGGTACTTATCAATTACACCTGAAGAACTTGCCACAGGTATCAAATTTTGACATTGTTTTAGGGCATCAAGAAGTTCAGACCAAGTCCAATACCTAATATCCGCAAGCAAATTCTCAGTTAGCTCGAATAGATTTTGGTTTCCGGATACAGATTTCTCCATTTCCATATAACAGGCAGCACAATATAGAGTTGAAACATTAATGTGGTTTATCTCAATCTTCCCTTTGTTGTAACAGAATCTTGTAATGAGCTCAAAGCTCTCAGCTCCACCAGGGAAATCATGAAATATCACCTTTAAATATTTCGTCCCTCGTTTCCTTTTCCCAAACAATTTATTTATTCTTCCTGAATAAGAACATATAACATTCTGCACAAATTTATAACAAAACACAATCAGATAACAAAACAAGAATGTATAATAGGTATTTAGGGACCATATTAGAGACTTATCTTACCTTGTAACAGCAATCACTTTCTAATTTCAGGATATAAGAACCTTATCAAGGGCATTAAATTAAACCACACAAAAGCAGAAATTTAATGGAATAATCTAAAGAATTTCCAAAAAGAATGATGACAGGTCGTTATACTGAATTAAATTTGGGAGGGGAATTGAAGAAAAAAGTCTGTGATGTACCAGCCAAAGTAGGGAAAGCACAGTAATGAGTGGAAATGAGAGCAACCTTTTTGGTCACACTCTAAAAAGATGTGAAAGAACCAAATTTAAAAGGGGCAAGAACATTTAAACCCCATAATATATCAATAATAAATGAGAGGAAACATACAAAAACAAAGGGCGGTGAGCTTACAAGTCACATTGGAGAAAAAGAAGTAAGTTGGAGTAATACAAACTTAGCCCCACTTATCAGTAATATAGGTACAGAATTTAATTTTTGGTTAAACATGATTAGGAAAAATTAAAGACAATAATGTAGAAAGAGTTAAAAGACAACAAATAAACATGAAGAAGAATCTATCTCTGAACTTAACAATAGCAGAAAATGGATAGAAATGAAGCCAAGTCAAACACAACACCAGTTATGGGGCCATGGGGGGGTTTACAATTTTGCACACAGAATTTTTTGTGTGGAGAAAATAGAGAAAACAAGGCAAGAACTGAGAATTAGAACTAAAAAACAGAATAACATAATTGAGAAGATAACAATTTGGACAAAGAAACAAAAAAAAAAAAAAAGGGAGAGCAAATGCAAAGCTTGTTCTTATTTTACAAAGACAAACGAGAAGAACCAGAAAGCTAAAATAAAAGAAAGAAAATTTACCTTATCAACAATAAAGATTTCTTCACCATTGACATCCACTTCAAGATCACAAGAAACATCCATTAAAGCCAAATAAAGAAAACACCTCAAATTAAGAGTCCCTTTTGGAATTTACTCAACAAAACAACTTTAAAAACTCGTAAAGAACTGATCTTGGAAAATACCCACATAGATTTTAGAAGAAAACAACAACTTATTCTATAATAAGCATGAAGACAAATAGAAAAAGTTCAGTTCTTGGTATTACAAAAAAATGCTTAGTCAATTGGTTCAAAAGCAAAACTGAAAGCATATAACTTAGAGAGACAAGAGTATAGGTGAAGCAAAAGAAAGAAGGGGTACAGATATATAATGTATATAATATGAGGATAAAACAAATAGAAAATCAGAACTTCAGTGAATAAGGGAAATGCTTGTATGCTAAGACAAACAGAGTTGTTGAGTGCCCACTAAACTGTATCTGACATTCCTGTCAAAATATGAGTCAATTTTTACATAAGCATATGCAACTTCTGGCTAAGTGAAGACCCTTTAGACTTGGAACGTAAGCTTTATACTATATATAAAACATTATATTATATTAAATGTATGTATGTTTCTGCTGGTTTTTTATTTTTTTGTGTCTCTCAACTCTCATGAACTCTTTTATGCCATTTTCTTGGCAGTAAGTTTCTTTCCTGATCAGTCACCCCCCCCCCCCTCCTCGCGGGTTTACTCTATTAATTAATCTCTCTCTGCCGTATAATACAAGTTGACGTTGTTATATTTAAATAAGGGATAATGACCTATTTGCCACTGCAAAGGACCTTTTTCTGGGATTCTTTATTTGCTTTCGTTATCTTTTGCTTATTTTCAGTTTTGAGCATGAGGAAACCTTTTGCTTTTCTTCTGGTTGTGGAAAAGAACAATTTAGGTTTTCAAGATCAACAAGAATTTTGTTTTAAAGAAAAAGATAAGAAAGGAAATGATAGAAATACATTAAATGGATTTGAGATTACTGTGAACTTTTTTAAATTGTATTTTTTTTTATATACATCGGTGAAACTAAATAAATTTCTCCAAATTTTTTCATATGGTACATGGCTTGAATATGCCAGGATAAGAAACTCAATTTATATGAGTGCATCTTCTCAAATTAACAAAAATTCTTCATATTTATGATCTTCATTTGTCAAAAATATGTTTAATAATGACCTTGTTGGCTTCCAGATACCATCTTCAATAATAGCTCTAAATTGTACTATTTCTCCTTTTATAGGTTTCAAAATCAGTTTTTAGTTATTGAACCAAATAACCTCAACTTATTTGAAAAACGCTTTTGTTTTTTGTTTTTTTAATTTTATTAGCACCATCTAAAAGCATAAGACGGAGACATGCATGTCGAAAGAAAAAGAAAACTATTGACGTTCGTTGCTTTGCAACTCTTTACGTGGAAACATCTATCTTGAACTTGATTTAGTAAGTTGTTTTCTCTAACAAACTAGATTGTAACGCAATTTTAAATTAGTTGGTAGTAATGCATATCTATGAAGCTTGATTGATTTGGAAAAGAAGTGAAACTATTTTCTATGTGAGTTTTTGAGGCAAGTCATTTAAGCAAGGATAATATCTTGTTGATGTATTTCCGTAACCTCTTCAATACAAAGTTACCAAAAGGTTAATGATTTCTACTTGATTGGTTCAGAAAATTATTTCATCTTTTATCACTTTATTTTTCTTTTTGTTTCCCTTTCTCAGTACTTGGAGATGCTTTTGCATTGAGACTTCCAAGTAAGCTTTAAAGTTGAAATTCGATTTTTAGACCTTTAGCAGTACTTGTTTGGAATCTCGACATGCCATGTTATTGTGCTTTGAATATGCAGTATATGTCAACTTGTACACAGTTTTACTAGAGATCTTACTTTAAACTGCTTGTCAAATTGAACTTTATTTGTGCTTGTTCCTCATATTGAAGTACAGCAACACTTAATTTCCACCAGATTTTCATATGTTTCAATCTGGATTTGCTCCCTACTTCATCCATGTCTTTTTTTTGGTTTCTACTAGTGTTCGGTTAAGGGTTTGGCAAATTTAGATTTGTGTCAAAAAGTTTTACATTGTATAAAGCGCTCCCTGCCAAATGTGACACCGTTCTCGAGGCTTACATACTCTGTAAGGATGGGGTATTCTATCCATATTATATAAAAGTAGGAGTATTATGTTTCGTTTTAGTTTTGTTAGAGAAAGCATAAGGGTAAACATCTATTGGGTTTGGAACTTAACTCCCCTGTTCTTTTATGATATCAAATAATTTTCTCTTGGGTTTGGAACTTAACATGTAAGGGTAAACATAAGGCTAAGTTTGTAAACAATTATTTGATTTCGTTTTCGTTTTAGTCTAATATTCGTTTTACTCTTGGGTTTGGAACTTAACTCCCCTGTTCTTTTATGATAATCAAATAATTTTCTGAAGGTTATTGAGTAAAGTAAAAACTGTTACAGTACATTTACTTTTAAACTAGCAAGAAATGAGTTTCATACACTTGAAATGAGAGTGAGTATTGTTCTAAACCTGTTGACCCTCAAGTACATCGCACATATATCAAAATATATAGTATTACCATTGTTATTTTAAATATAATATTCAAGTACACCACGCTTGTATCAAAATTACCATTCTCAATTTAGATAATGAATGATGATGAGGAGGAGTAATAGGCAAAAGAAAAGATTATATATTAGTTATGGAAAGTTTTATATTGGAAGACCTCAAGTACACCACACCCTGTACCAAAATTACCATTCTCGTTTGCAATGATGGTAATGATGATTATTAGCTATGTAAAGTTTTATATTGGACAGTTATGCAGAGATTACATCAATGATGCAAGATTTATGCTGCAAATGAAACGTGTATTAGATATTCAAAATTAAATCGTACATATATATGTAACTATATTTCTTTATGCAACCAACCAATTGACTCTAAGTTAAATTATTGCACTTGTCAATTATCTCATGTAACTTTAGCGGAATTTTTTGTTGGAAAATATTCGTTTGACCGTCGATACCCAACATGATAAATAGGTAATAAAACCGTACAAGTCGATGTGAAAAATGTCTTTCTTCCGATTTTATTAATTTCCCTCGCCGTCACCGTATATGGCGTCTCCGTAAGCTAAATTAAGTCATTATCTTTTGCTCCTTTTTCACTGATTGCTTCTAGCATTTATCACTGAATTTATATATCTCTTATTTCTATAATTGCCTTTGTCATTAAAGATCTGTGTGATTTACTATACATTTAAAAAAAAAAAAAAAAACTGAACTCCTTCTTACTCAAGAAAAGTGCAATGACGACCTTATATCCAAGTTTGATATGATTGCATATAAGTTTATTGCCAGTCTAATATTCCTTTTAATTTACTATAGACTTGTCGATTGTCTTCATTATCCACATTCTAATACTATTACAGTTTAAAGGTTTTTTTTGACGATCAGTATAAGTTGTTTCTTATGTAAATATCTGTCACTTCACGGCTATTCTGGCACGGTTCGTTTGAGAAACTGTTTGTAGCTAAATCTTGTCCCTCATCCAACGGTGAGGACTAGAGGACATTGTAAATAGGCCCAAACGTTGCAATTCTGAGACTGCCATGTTTTCGTATGAAGGAGTTTGTTAAAAAGCAACCTTATCCTGTAAAACAGCAGGTAAACGGGGGAAAACAGGAATCACGTGAATAACTATTGCGCTTTTTTTTTTCTCTTTATTATTATATTCTTTTGGGTTTTCACTATTGCCCGACGAGATATCCGCTAAAAAATTCAAGAAGGAAAGGTAATGAATACAGTAGTTATATATATCCTTGTACCATGGCGATATCCTTATACCATGGCGGGGCAGAATTTCTGCTAAGGGGTTCATACGAAAGAAGTTAAAAAATTAAAAGAGATTGTGGCATGTCGGCTATGTTTTTGGGCTGTGTTAAGGAGATTCAAAATATACTAGGGATTTTAACCTTTCTATACTATATATGAAACTTTATTACCCTTCCTAATCAAGTTTTAACTTAATTACATGGCCATATACAATTTACCAATTATATACTGTACAAATTAGTTTTAAATGAATATCCCTTTAAATTAGGAATTGAAAGGAATCAATTATTTCTCATACCTGTTCTCGCTCTCTCCTGCGCTCTCTATCTCCGTCACTCTCTCCTGTGCATTCTCTCTCTCTCTCTCTGCCTCTCTCTCCGTCTCTCTATCTCTCATTCTCTGTTCTTTCCCTAATTTTTCTTCCTATGATGTTCTCTACTTTTTATCCTTTCATATTGTATATATTTTTAATAGAATTCATCAATGGATTTTCAATCGTTTTACTATAGAGAGTTTTGACTTAGCAATTTCCTTTCATGTTGCACAGGGTGTTCAAATTGAAATTGTCAATCAATAAATTTTGAAGGTGTTTGACTCTCCACCATTGACAGTCTTTAAAAAGTTTTGAAGGTTTGAAATCAAATTTGGGTTTTCAAAAATTATTATTTGTTTGGATTGGGTGTTGTTGCAAACAACTAAGAATATTGTTTGGAGTTTATATCGATTAGACTTGATTTTGGCTGAATTTCAGATTGAAACTCGAAGAAAAAGAACACATGACATACAATATATTTACGAAATTGTAGTAAAGTTGTATTATAATTGTATGTAAATTATATTTGGTTGTAGTTATATATTTTTATTTTATTTAAATATTGTATGCAAGTTGAAAAATAGTTGTATAATGTATGAGTCGTTGTATAAAATTTGTATTTAAGTTATCGATACTATCTTTTTACATAAATTTATTAATATGTATCAAAATTGTATTAAGAGAGTAAGTTTTGATTAGAATTTTTGAGAGGAAGAAGCACACACCACATACAAAATATTTACAAATCAGATACAAAAATATACAAAAGACATATTGTATAAAATTTGTATGAAAATTATATTTAAATTATATGATATTGTAGTTGTATTTAACTAGGTAGAAATAATGTATGAAAGTTATAGATAAGTTGTAAATAAGTTATATAATATATAATTAGTTGTATGGAATTTATTTTTACTATGTATGTTGTTGTAGATATTCAAATTTGCATTAAATTCGTACGAAATTTATTTTTAATTTGTATGTTGATGTACCATACATTGTTCTTTTCTCAGTTGATTTATTAAGGAAAGAAAAATAGAGAATGAATTCCAAATCGACACATGTGCGCTGATTCATATATGTTTTTGAACGGAAAAACTTAAATATTGATGGGAACTAAATGATTTGGGTGGAGAAATTTCGAGTTTTACATTAAAAGCATCATCGTCGCACTTCGAAGAAACTGAGTTTTATGTGAGATTTGATTTTTGTGTAAGAAATTAATTGGGTAGCATAAAATTATGGTTAATGATTTAATCGAACATATGAACTACCAAAATGTAACGACCCGACTGGTCGTTTTGAGCATTTACGCTCCTTCCAACTATTTAAAATCTCCAATAACTTTCTACGAGGTATTATGAATTGTGTGAATTGTCGGTTTTGGTTTTAAGGTATTTCAGAGTTAGCTTGGAAGAATGAATTTTTATGTTGGAAGCTTAAGTTGAAATAGTTGATCGGATATTGACTTATGTGTTAACGACCTCGAAATTTAATTATGATAATTTCAATAGCTTCGTATAGTGATTTTAGACTTAGGAGCATGTACGGAAAATTATTTGGAGGTCCGTAGTGGAATTAGGCTTAAAATACCGAAAGTTGAATTTTGAGAAGTTTGACCGGGAGTTGACTTTTTGATATCGAGGTCGGAATCCGATTCTGAAAATTTGAATAGCTTCGTTATGTCATTTATGACTTGTGTGCAAAATTTGAAGTCATTCCGGATTGATTTGATGTATTTCGGCACAAGATATAGAATTGAAAGTTCAAAGTTCATTAGGCTTGAATTGAGGTGTGATTCATGGTTTTAGTGTTATTTGATGTGATTTAAGGCCTCGAGTAGGTCCGTGTTATGTTATGGAACATGTTGGTATATTTGGTTGAGGTCCCGAGGGGCTTGGGTGTATTTTTGGATCATTGGTCGAGAGATTTATAAAGTTAAGAAATTTGAGAGTTTGGCCATGGCTAATATCGGGTCAAGACGACCTCTTTTCAATGTTTTGAATGCGCGAGCATGTCCGTAGCATATTTTATGATTGAAATTCATATATGATTTGTGTCCGGGAGGTTCCGGATGAGTTTCGGGATGAGTTTTGAGCGAGTCCGGACATTTCGGCACTCTAATATTATTCTGGCACTTTCGGGGACGCGGACCGTGCATTTTTTGGGCGCTAAGGCGAAGTAGGGACGCGGAAAATAGCAAAATTTCGCGGTCGTGCTCAAACTTTCGCGGACCGTGCAATTCTGTCCGCGACCGTGCTTCAGGAAGTTGTGCAGATCCGCTGGTCCGACTTCGGAAGCCTATATCTTTTGATCTACAAGGAATTTTGAGATCATTTAAAATCGAAAGTTATAGCCCTTCGTGTCTAGTTTTCATAAAGGTAAGGTAGTCATCATGTGGACATCTGTAGAGAAAGTTATGGACAAAATACTAAAGCCTGGCAGTGCAGCCCCAAGAATTTCGCTGCCGCACCATTTTTTCGCGACCGCAGGACCTAGGGCGCGGCCGCGCTTTGAATTTCGCTGAACGCTAAGTGGGAGATCAGAGGTGCAATATATAAACGGGGTTTAGGGTATTATTTCATATTTTGGACCTAGTGAGCTCGGTTTGTGGCGAGTTTTCGTGGGTTTTTCAAGAAATTCATTGGGTAAGTGATTCTAACTTGAATTTGGTTAATATACATGAATATATCAATGATTTCATCATCTGATTTGTACTATTAGTTCTTGGAAAAATGTAATAGTTTTATATATTTTCTTTAATAATTGTCTTGTTAAATTTCATTGGAATTGGATAGTGAATAGTTGGCTTCCCTAACCGGTTGGGTTAGGTGCCATCACGACTAGTTAGATTTTAGGTCGTGACACAAAAATAACATATCACCTACACAAGGTATGAAAGACTCCCACGGCTGGCTAGAGGTCTCGCTCAACTGGATAGGTGGGAGATGGATTCATTCAAAATAAGACAATTGAAGGCGACATAAATTTAGTTCGAGCCACCATGAGTGTTTAGCTATAGCTTTCTTTCATTTGTTTACACATTAATAGGTATAGACAAAGGAGATAGATATTACTTTGATAATCTCTCAGATGTAACCATGGGGTTTAACCCCTTAACTTTACTCTATGCCAAATTTTAATAAAAGGAGACAGTTTGATTTAAAAAAAAAACCTGCCAAAACATAAAATCAAGACCCAAATAAAGAAAGATGACAACTTCAGCAGTATCTCATGGTTTTGACGAATGTATCACGAAATAATTATTAAACAGAAATCCCTAAATATAAGTTCGATCTGAAGATGAGAGAAAAAAGGAAAATGGTGTAATAAAATCTCTTGATTGAAAGCATTAATAATGGATTGAGAGCTTTTTAAGGTGGAATGTATATAATTTGTAAGTAATCCTTGTTTAGAGCGAGTAATATATAAAATTAGAACAATTTTGGTAATAAAGTTTAAGATATTGTATAAGAACAAAAAAATCCCAATATACTATATAGAGGTACAAACCAGATTTTACCTTATATATACAGTGTAATTTTGCCGACGAAGAGAGTTCAAGTGAACACCCTTCCGCCGCCCTAAATCCGCCCCTGCTTATAAACCTGTCTTAAGAGATTACAAATATATAGTTGGTTAAATTATTATGTGAGGAAAATAACCTTCAATCCAAAATCTTAAAACGACGAGTGAATTATCCCGTTCATTAGACTCCTTAGTCCTTTGGATACTTTTATAGAATAATGGAAAATTAAATATTTCTACAATTCCTTTTAAACATGCTCAAACAGTTGTTATGAAATTTCGTACTATATCATAAAAACACCTTGTTGAACCAACAACACGCCGCATTGAATCTATATGCAGAGTCCAGATTTTGAGTATATGGGTTTTGGAATCTAGAACATAATAAGTTACTGGGTTCGAATATATTATTTACATATATTAAGTAAATTTCTTAATATAAATATACGATTTGATTTGAAACTACCAGGTTGGATCTACTGAACATTTGAATTTTAAAACTAAAGAAAATTAAAGCAGTAGAATTGTTATTCACACCGTTTACGAAAAAGGGTCTGATTTGCCCTTCTAATATCAAAAATAAGTCTTATTTACCCTCAGTTTAAATTTTTTATCAAATATGTCCCTACCGTTATACATTAGGTGCATATATATCCCTTACACGTTAAAAACACTCTCCCATCAGTAAAAAAAACCTTTTTTTTCATCTCACTATCTCCTTTTCTCTCTATCTCTTCTCTAACATAAAGAGACCAAAATTTAGGATTTACGGAGAGAATCTGGCTGGATTCAATCGATTTATGCTTCAACTGTGTTAAAAGGTGATTGTTTTCTTCAAGTAATTATTTATTTAAGCTCTTATATGCATTTTTGCTGCTTAGATTTGCCGTGATTTTGGTCGTTTTTAGGGTTTATTGTTTAAGGACCATCTTTGCTTTAAGAGTTATCTCAAATGATTGCCTTAGTTTGTTAGGTTGTTGTCTAGTGGCAGTTTTATTGCCATATATTATTGACCATCCTAATTTATTTTATTACTTTTTCAGGATATTAAAGATGACTTTGATGGATGAATCTGATTTGTTTGTGAATGTTCCTAATATAGTCCATTATTCTGATTCACACCCATCACTAATTGATGTTGGTACAGATTGTAGTGAGAGTGAGAGTGATAATGACAGTGGGAGTGATGAGGTAGGGAATAATTCAGAGGAAATACAATCAATTGCATGTAAAAGAAAATAGAGAAATTGATATTGGTCTGCAAAATTACAAGGAATTGTATAAGGGTATGAGCTTCAAGGATATACTTAAATCTAGAAAATATATTAACTTCTATACACTGGCAAACAAAAAGTATTTACAACAAGAAAAAAGTGATAAAGAAATATTAAGGTACAAATGTGTTCTTGACTGCCCTTTTGTTGTTCTCATTTCTGGGGATGGAAACCTTCCAGGGGTTAGGATAAAGACATTAAGATTAGAGCATACTTGTGATGAAGCATTTGATAATAGTAGGGTTGATTATCATACAATTGCACATTACTTCAAGAAAAAGTTACAAGATAATCCTATGTATAAGATTAAAGAGATGAGAGCAGATATCAAAACTGTGTTTAATACAAATGTCAGTTATGAAAAGTGTAAGAGGGCTAAAAGACTGATTTTAGAGAAACTAAAAGGTAGTTTTACAGATGGCTACAATAAAATTGAGGCATATGCCAATGAACTAAGAGACAGTAATACAGGGAGTGATGTAGTTATTAATTTGTCAAAGGATGCACTTGCTCAAGGTATTAGAAGATTCTTAAGAATCTATATTTGCTTCCATGCTCTTAAGATGGGTTTTAAGCTAATAAATGTGTTACTAACTCCAATGGTGAATTTGGATATGAAGTCACAGAAGAGAAAGATAGGCACAATGTCAATATGGCTATGAAGAGATGCACATTTAGGGGCTGGGATCTCGCTGGAATTCCATGCCCCATGCAATTAAAGCCATCCAATACAAGAAAATGGATCCTCTGAAGGAAATAAATTGGTGGTATAGCAAATGCTTACTTATAAACACAAACTACAATCAGTCAGGGGTGAAAATTTTTGGAAAGTGGATGAATCTCAAGCAATGAAACCACCCGAGTTAGTCAAGTTGGTTGGGAAGCCAAAAATCAAGAGAACAAAGCAAAAAGATGAAGCAATCAAGAGGCAAGATGAATGGGGAGTTTCTAGGAAGGGAAGAATTATGACATGCAGCAACTGTGGAGAGACAAAGCATAATGCTAGGGGATGTGACGAGGTAAGAATTAATTTAGTAATTTCATTCACTCACTAATGAATTTAACTAACTTCTCTAACTTGTTTAATAGCCACCCAATAAGGACAAAAGGCAAAAACTACTCGATGAATATGAAGAAGTGGGGCAACATCCACATGAAGATATCTACCTTACTGCACCCCAATGTAGTCAAGCAAGTCAAGACATAGAGTTGGTTTTCATGCTTACACCGAGCGTCTATAGTGAGACTTCAAGCAGTTCATTTCCTGCTTTTGAGTATCCAGAACCCGAAATAGAACCAGCTATAAGGCCTATGGTTGTGTCAGAGAAAAAAACAAGGCTTCAACAGAGACAACAACCATCACAGCCTTCAGGATCAAGGATAATTACATTCAAAGGTGATCATAATGGTTTAAGTGTTCCATCAACTCTTCCTTACTCACCACGCAGAGTCACATGGAAGGGAAAAGTTGCTATTACTGTTTTTTTTATTTAATTTAGTGGTAAATTGGAGGTCGTATTATGACCAAGGGTCTGTAAGTTTTTGGGGGTTATAATTTTGTATCCAACAGTCCATCAAACTGAATTCTCAAGTTTGCTAGGTTAAGCAGTATGCAGTTATGCATCCAACAGTCCATAAAACTAATTTTAGTTGAAGTTTGTTAAAGATAGAGTTCCTTCTTATTTGTCATACTGTTATGCTCTTTTGATTAATGCTAGTATCAATTACCATACTTCATCTAAATACTATTTAAATTTTTCCTACAGAAAGCGGCACATGAAAAGAAAATCATGGTTCTCTGTCTACTTAGAAATTTGCAACAAAGCAACACATTCACTAGAAAATATAGAGAATAATATTAAAACATCACTACAACACTTCACTGTTTACAAAAGAAGTACCAATACACTAACTTCAAAAGTTGNTCTGTCTACTTAGAAATTTGCAACAAAGCAACACATTCACTAGAAAATATAGAGAATAATATTAAAACATCACTACAACCCTTCACTGTTTAAATTATCAAAAGGGAGGGGGGAATTAAATTATCGAAAAAACCAAATGGAAATAGAATAAAGAAATAATACACACATCAGGTTTAGGACACTTAAAGAATCTCCTTCCAGGATTATATAGAGTCGTTGAAGTGAAGTGGTTGACAATTTCCCCACAATGGCACCTCCTTCTTGATGAAGAACTACTTTCTGACATGACAAAACTGACATGACAAAATTCGATATGGTGGAAAACCTTCACAACCCAATGTATGAATTTAAGAAGAAAGCAAGTGGCAAAGAAAGATTTTACAATTGACGATTTATTTTTCTCATAGTAAATCCTAGATTTTACTCTCTTTATGTTAGAGAAGAGATAGAGAGAGTTTGGGTGTAGTTTTTACTGATGGGTGTAGTTTAAGAGGTTGGATCGGGCAGGTTTGAAATAAAAAATGGGACGGGTCAGTTGATCCAATAAGGAGATGCCACATGGCTTTTAAAAGTTGGGAGGGTATTTTTAACGTGTAAGGGATATATATGCACCTAATGTACAACGGTAGGGACATATTTGATAAAAAATTTAAACGGAGGATAAATAAGGCCTATTTTTGATAGTAAAAGGGCAAATCAGACCCTTTTCCGCACCGTTTATGTTGTTCCTTCAAAAGATTGAAGACCATATAGTTAACAATTTCCAATAGCCTCTACATTCACTTGGATTTTCAACTTGAAAATATTGTAAACGTTTTAAATCTTATGCTTGCAGTAGCTACAGTCAAATTGTCCTTTGCAGCAGCTCCTTTTCCATTCTCTTCTATAAATTAAATACGAAGCTTCCATTCTCAACGTACCTCCTTACTAATTTCTTTCACAAAATTGTTCTTATAGTAACTACAATTTTGTCTCAGGACCATGAGTTTGAAATACCTATATATTTGTTTTATTAATATTGTCCTACATTAGAAGTCAATCGAATTGTTATGCTTGGCCTAAAATGGGTGACATAATTTTATTAGATTACACTGTCACTAATTAGCCTTTAGTTTCATGTGCGTATCAGTAGCAGATGACCTTGCCATTCGAATTAAAGGTGGACACAACAACAAAAGTTGAATTTCAAATTAAAGGGTCCACAAGATTCGAATAAGGCCACTTCGTTCATGGTAATCTCATATTAAATCCAGCTATTATATGCCAAATCCAAATTAAGTGACGACATTCCTATAATTAAATAAATAATCGTAAGGGAGTTTTTTTTTTTTTTTTTTCTGTTCAGAAAAATGATTTATGTAGAACCCACAATTTGGAAAAGTTAAAAACGCAATCTACGAAAATATATTTCAAATCAAATAATGAACACATATCAAAGACAAGTACAAAGTTACCAAATTCTAGGGAAAATGATAAAGAAATAATTAGCAATCCTTCTTTTAAGAAGAATTTAAACCTATATTATCTTTAAAATACGGAAATATTGCAGAAAGTGTCGACCATACAATTGTTTAAAAATTGTGGGATCATGATGCTACGTTTTAACTGACAAATAAATTTTCAGCATATCATAGCGGGACAAACATGCGAAGATACTGTCCTACTTTTTTTGTATTAAATGGAAGCTCCGTTTAAATTCTTCCAATAATGTTAGATTAATTATAATTATAATAATCAGCTTATACTTATTGCTGATGTTGGTTTCCTTAATGTAGTAAGAGACTTATGACCACGTAACACCAGTTGCAAAACTCCGCCTCTCACCCCTTTGTTTATTTTTACATACAGTATGTATCTCTTTTGAACAATTAATAGACTTTTAGACTAACCGGTTCATATGATTCAATGTGAGATCCTCGGTTCGAGTCTCTCGACTATCTATCAATAAAAAATTTATTCGTGTTTGACCCCAAAAAATAGAGTTATTTTGCACGAAAGGACGCATTGCAAAAAAGGGGAGGAATTGGTGCACGAAGTATCCCGCATTCATGCAAGGTTCGGGGAAGGGCCACACCCCAATGGTGCGATGTAGACAGCCTACCCTGATGCAAGCATCAGTGGCTGATTCCACGACTCAAACACGCGATCTATAGATTATACGAAGACAATTTTACTGTTGCTCCAAGGTTCCCTTAGAGGATGTATTGCTAAACAAAAATAAATAAAAATGGTTCCATTGACAGCTTAATTTTTGAGTCGTTCACACAATTTTTCTTATACATGTACTTGAAAATTTATATATTTATTTTTAAAAGAAGTGAATAAAAAAGGTGAGGGAGTACAGGGAGATTTGGTTAGTTTGATTGACCAAACATAGGATATGGCATTGAAAATGTTGTTGATGTCATATCACAATCAAATGAAAATTATGTAGTACTCTTCAGTTTGATTCTCTGCATATGGAACAAAATAAATTAGAATTAAATCATAAAATAGTTCAAGTCAGCTAACGTTTTCAGCATCCCAGTGGTCACGTTAATTTCCCACCGCTCAATCGTTCAGCCCACCTACTTTATAATTGGGCAAAAATCTGCTGATGGTTATGGGCCGTTCCTCTTCGTAACGAAGCAGCAACTTTGAGAGAAATATAGTGAGAAAGTAAACGACGAGAGATTTTAATATCTGTTATGAATACATTGAATTTGTGAATGTCCAACAACTCATCCATGAACCATTTTAGATATACATGAATATATTTATTACATTCATTTAATATCTTGTAACTCTTAAGTAAATTATACACTATATATATGGTATTTCTAATTCTACAAAAGACATCAATAAGATAAACTTGAATATAACTTGATAGAAGAAAAGTTTTATCTATATTTTTTGGCTTATATTAATATAATTTTATAATACGTTATCAGCACGAGTCTCTAACCAATTGAAGTTATCTGCTTCGTCCGGGTTTTATCTTCTTCCTAAAGAGTAAGCTTTAATTTTACATTGTCATGCCGGTATGTCTAGTTCTAAGCTTACTTTTATGAAATAGAACAGTATGCTATCAATTCTTTGCCATGATATTAAAAGAACCTTGTGATATTATGCTTTTGAACGAGTTTCATTTAATATGGTAGATAATCATATAGAGTAAGGAATATTTTCTGTCTATATTAGAGCTATTATTTGGTTAGAAATATGAACTTTGAAAACTATCAATTAGATATTGACGTGTCTTTTGCTGAAAATTAGAAATAGTGATATCATTAAGATTTATGCCTAACTACACTATTGAGAGATATAATAAGTGTCGGAACATGATATACTTACTTTAATTTTGTAACTCTCTGATTATTGTCTATTGAGTAAACGTATTTGGCTTCTCATGTATACATAGGGTAATGATTGTGTGCTAATATACAGTCAAACATGATATAGTAACATTGCATTGCATGTAATTACTTTTTATTTCTATAAGCTTGTATACACGATATTAGTACACGATTATGTACTGCATTGAATTTATAATAATTCTTGTCATTCTAATTCACTTATTTCTATGATAGTTTTCACTATGTCGAATTTGTCAAAGCTTGAATTTATGGCACTTGACATCTCTGGGAATAACTATTTGCCATGAGTACTTGATGCTGAAATTCACCTTGACGCTAAAGGTCTTGGTGACACTATTAAAGAAGAAAATGAAGCATCAAGCCAGGATAAGGCGAAAGCCATAATTTTCCTTCGCTATCATCTAGATGAAGGGTTAAAAAGTGAATATTTAATCTTAAAAGATCCATTTCAATTATGGACTAGTTTGAAGGAACGATATAACCATCTAAAGGCCACGGTATTGCCAAGAGCTCGTCGTGAGTGGATGCACTTACGACTACAAGATTATAAGACCATAAGTGAATATAATTCTGCTATATATAGAATAATTTTTCAATTAAAATTATGTGGGGAACCTATGAATGATGAGTACATGCTGGAAAAGACTCTTTCTACTTTTCATGCCTCAAATATGGTTTTACAGCAGCAATACCGTGAAAAGGGCTTTAAGAAATATTCTGAGCTAATTTCATGCCTTTTGGTGGCTGAACAACATAATGCCCTTTTAATGAAAAATCATGAAGCCCGTCCCACTGGATTAGCTCTATTTCAAGAAGCGAATCTGGGAATGATAGATCCAAAGTCTGAAAAAAAGAAAAAATAATTATCTTGTCCGTATAAATATACGTGAGCGTGGCAAGGGGCGAAATAATAATCTCCATGGTGGTGGTCGTTATAAATAAGAAAACAATAAGGGTTCTCAGAATAATTCTTCAAAAAGCAAAGGTAATGTTTGCCACCGATGTGGTTATTGGGCACGAATTTATCGTACACCTGAACGTTTTGTCAAACTTTATCAAGCATCTATAAAAGGAAAACAAAATAAAGTTGAGACTCACTTGACTTTTCAAAATGATGTTGAGGCGGGCACTATGAATAATCATGATAAAGTTGAAGCAAATCTTGCCTATAAAGATGATATTTTTGAAGGCCTTACAGATATTACTCATTTAGAATCTGAAG